ATGGGTGGCAACTCTATGCTTCGGTTACTTTTTAAGCATACTAGGCTTTTATTTTAACAGACCTTATTTTAAAGTGCATAACTTCATCCCCGAAGACTTGTCTTTTTTTTTTTTAACAAAAAAAAAAATCTGCAAGAAGAGTGTTTAAAGGGGAGAAATTCCTTTTCAGAAAGACAAATAAAGCAAAGACCTCAGTTGCTAAAATTATAATTGTAACATACATACATACATATTCCTCCTCTCCGCCCAAAAAACTTAGACAGGCACCTTCTTAAAGGTTTTATTTTTTGGCTGATGGCGTCTGTGGCTTGCAGAAATGTTATGACTACTGCAAAGCAGTTCTATACAATTTTACTGGTGACTGTAAAATCAGACCAAGTTTACTACTTTCCTGATGTTGGTTTTTTAAAGTAAAAGGTAACATTTTAACGCCGCAGTAGAGGGCGAAGAGCTTATTAAAGGCAGTATTATGCCAATTTCAAACCTTTTATGAAAAACCTTTAAGGCCACCTGTAAAATAATGTTATTTTTTCTTCAACTCTTCACAGATTTTGCTGTCTTTATGCCTTTATATATACTAAAAAAAAAAAATCTTCATGCCAAGTACATTTTAATTCCCCCGCCCCCTAATAAAAGCTGCAGCAGAAGGCATTCATGTTTTTATTGAAAGTCAATTAAAATTTCCGATCATCTTGATTTGCATTACAGCATCATTGCTCATATTTCTCTATTATGGGATATTCTATACTTGACTCCCAGAGGGGTAGCTATATTAGCCTGTTGTGGCAAAAACAACAAGGAGTCTTGTGGCATCTTAAAGAGTAACAAATACACTATGGCATAAGCTTTTATGCTTCTGATGAAGTCAGCTGTGGTCACCGAAACCTTATGCGATCTATAAATTGGCTAATCTGTAAGGTGCCACAGGGTTCCAGTGTTTATACCTGACATATTGTCAAGATACAGATTGGCAGCTGGATCCCCCAGAGGCAAAAACTGCTTCTGTCGTCTGTTCTTCAGTTGTCAGCACAGAGGCAAAAGAGTAGTTGATCAGGGCTATCCAACGTGGTGGACTACAGAAATCGTTGGATTATAGCTCCCATTTCCCCTTACCATTGGACGTGCTAGCTAGAACTGATGAGAGTTGTTGTCCCAACAACCTCTGGAGGGCACTAGATTAGCTGCTTCTGGTTCTCATGGCTCTGAGTTAAGATCTGATTTAAATAGGAACGTAGGAAGCTGCCTTATATCAGATCAGACCATTAGTCCATCTAGCTCAGTACTGTCGATGTTGCCAGCAGCTCTTCAGGGCATCAAGTAGAAGACTTTCCCAGCCATATCTAGAAACACCGGGGATTGCACCTACCTGAGACCTTCCTGCATGCAGAACTTGATTGATTGATTGATTGATTGATTGATTGTATTGACTGTATTTATATCCCACCTTTTGCCCAAGTTGGCATTCATAGGTTGCTCACCAGGCTTTAGTATTTCTTTTCTCTAATATTCCTCCTTGGAGAAAATAGGAACAGAAAGAAGCTGCATTACACTGAGTAGCTCAGTATTATCTACTGGCAGCAGCTCTTCAAGACTTCACATATTCCCAGCCCTACCTGGAGGTGCCACGGTTTGAACCCAGGTCCTTCTTTGTGAAAAGCAGGTGCTTCTACCCCTGATCTATGGCCCTGACCCTCTAAAACAGAAGAATTCATCCACCAGTGTGTTGGAGGGGCACTCATTTGATAGCATGTCTGCAAAGGACCTACCAAACTCTTGTTCCACTTCACCATATTGACATCGTTGTTGTTGTTATCTGTGTGCTTGCTTTTCCGAAGAGCAAACCAGAGCCCAGGCAGAAATACCACTCAACATAATTTGAATTTCGCTTTTCTCTGCCTGGCTGTACAGCGGAGGCCAGCATGGCCGCGTATGTAACGTACACTGCCCATCAGCTGTTTCCTCCTTTATCGCTGACAAGGGTCCCATTCATAACTCTTCCTTTTATCCTTTTTGGTGAATAAGTAATTATTCAATATAGAGAAGGCAGGATATTTGGAACGGGCTATTTAACGTGGCAGCACACCCGTAATGAAATCTGCTGTTACTGGCAACCTGAGAGAGGAATGTAACAATTCTAGCACGGCCGGTAACTCTACCCGCTTTGACGGCCTGTTTATTTGGCACGTCAGCGGACCTTTTATCCCAGTGAGTGACAGCTTCAGAAGGGTTGCATTTACTTCCATTCTATCGTGTATTGTAATATTTAATGGTGGACAAGCTTGAGTGGGACTGAGGGTAATTTGAACCTGCCTTTCCACAGAGCGGAGGCCAAGAGATAGTTGATCCCTGCTATTGTGGCGTAACGCGCACAGTGACTTTGCATTTGCTTATGGAGGATAATCTTACTGATTACAATTAAGAGGAGGGTGAAAGAAAGAACAAGAAATGGTGAAGCTGGCAAGAAAATAGTGTTTGGCTTCCTGTTCTCATAGTGTCATTTTTTGCACCAATAATCTTTCGTGCAGCTTTAGAACATAAGCATATTTTGTTCCAAGTAGCTATTTCTGCAGTGTTCTGTCACCCCCATCGAAGGATCTACGTTCCTCTTTATTAAAATCTTATAATGGCCTTCTAAGTAAGTGTGCAAGTGAGAGGGGTTCCTAAGTGGGAACGTAATTAGAGTGGAACAAGCAGCTGAGCTATCATGCTACCTACATACCCAGCTTTATCCAGGATTTTTTGTTTATATAATAAGCTACAAGTGCAGCCTACAGCAAAATGTTGCAGTGCTACCATCAATTCTTGTCTAGAGTGCCTCTTCTTCAGGGTTCTAGCCTGCCAGCCCAAGCCCTTCTCCAGGATGCTCCATTTCATCCTCCCACCCCCCTGTTTTCCTTTTCCAACTGACACCAGTCCATGGCTCCTGAGCATGCTAAGACTTCATTGGGCTGTTTTGGGCTTTTATTTTTGTTTGCCCTTGTTTTGTTTTTGTTTTGTTTGTAGTTCTGTAAACCTCAGGGTTTCTGCAAGCATGCAAATGCCTTCATGGGTAGGCAAACTAGGGCCTGGGGGCTGGATCCGGCCCAGTCACCTTCTCAGTCCGGCCCGTGGACGGTCCGGGAATCAGCGTGTTTTTACATGAGTAGAATGTGTCCTTTTATTTAAAATGCATCTCTGGGTTATTTGTGGGGCATAGGAATTCGTTCATCCCTCCCCCCCCAAAAAAAAATATAGTCCGGCCCACCACATGGTCTGAGGGACAGTGGATTGGCCCCCTGCTGAAAAAGTTTGCTTATCCCTGCTCATGTTTCTCAGTGTCCCAGTTTTTCATAGTTTCGGCAATCACCAACTGAATTTGTTGTTTGCGGGAGGGAGTGGGGAGGGGGAAGTGCATGGATACAACTCTGGGAGGTGGAGGGAGAAATGTTTGCTTGGTATTTTTTTGCTGCAGCAGGCTAACATGGCTCCAGAATCCAGAATCAATATAAATTCATGGTATTTTTCAATAATAGCATGGGTTTAATTAAGTGCAGTTTGACTTGTAGAAAAAGCAAGAAGAGAAATCTGGTATCAAAATGTTAATATGCTGTACTCAGTTTTCCCTGGTTTGGTTGTATATATAATTTATTGAGCAAGTTAACTAAGCTCTATAGACAACATTCAAGAAAAACATTTCAGCAGGTGCTTCAATACATGCAGGTGAAAAGTATTGTTAGCATCACCTGAAGCTATCAGGTATAAACTTGACTGCTTCAGATTTTTGCACTTTGGGTGCAATTGCATGCATGTTTGCTCAGACTGTAGGGTTTGGGGAGAAAATCTATTCAATTTGCATTTGAAGGCGATCCTACCTAATCTGCTCTTTCCAAAGCAATGTGTGAACTGAAATACAGCTACCCTTGGAAAATCTCCAAATTTTGCAGTGCAATTCCCACTGGGGTAAAGGGTGCATATAAATGCATATAATAGTGAAAACACATGTTATCATGGAAAATTGCTCTCTAAAAATGTGTATATTAGGGAATTGCATACAAATGTATATATTAAGAGAAATTCGTACTAAAATGCTGCTGAATTTTCACGAAGACTTCAAAATAATTCAGAAAGTGTAGTGGAAATGTTGAGAACCGAACTTCAGAATGAAAAATGAAAAGCTGAGAGAACTTGAAATTGACAGATCCCTCTATCCCTACTCAGAAATAAGTCATGCTGTGTTCAGTGGGGCTTATTTCCAGGGCAGTGTGAATAAGATTGCAGTCTTATTGGGATCAGGTTTGTCATGAAAAGAGTTGTTTATTTCAGCCTTGGGCTTGTTTGTACAACACTTGGTTACTACTTGTGTAAAGTGCCCACAATTGTTTTAAAAATTAAAATCTTCAATTTATTTATCTGTAAATTTGTATCCCATATCTCAGTCATTGCTCTCATACCTCTACTTTGGTAGCCTAGTTTTACTTGTGAAAAAATGGTGGCAGATTTGAGCTCTCTAATTTGGACATTAGTGGAATCTGGCTGCCTCTTAGAGTGCTGAACTTACGGTAATTAAATTACTTTTGTAATGTTCTGGCCAAGGTAGCCTTTTTAGCTCCTGTTTTACCAAGTCTTTGATTTATTCATGACCTTTGTTTCTAGAACTGGATGTAAAAAGTGCAGCCTAATTCTCAATATGCAAAAAAAGCTCCTTTAAGTAACTTAATTTGTGGTAACTTAATTTGTGTCTGAAGCTGTCAGGTATCCAGTGTTATGATGACTGCTGTTTAATAGACAGCTCTGGTTAAAATGAGAGAGTCTACTTTATTTTACGTGGTCAGGCTCTTTTTAACAGGTGTTAAATGGGTGGGGAGCATAGAAAGATAATTACAGCCATTTAAATGCCTTGTTTCCAAGAATAGTTGTTGATAACCCAATTTTCTTGTGTGTAAACAATAAGAAACGCTTTTAGAGAAAAAAATACTTTTTTCCTGTTCTAATGTCCGTAAAGAGATTTCTCTGCCTTTCAGTTACAGCCTTCCAGTGCCTGCATTCAGTGCTCCTGTTCTTCAGTCGAAGCAAAAGTCAAAGAAGCAACTGATAAAAAGAAGAAAGAAAATGGAGGAAAGGCATTTGTCCCCAAAATATTTTTTGGAACTCGCACCCACAAACAAATTGCTCAGATTACCAGGGAGATGCGGAGGACGGCATATTCAGATATCCCCATGACTATTCTTTCTAGCAGGGACCACACTTGTGTCCATCCAACAGTGTCCAGCTGCAGCAGCAAGAATGAAAAATGTGTAGAGTTGCTGGAAGCCAAAAATGTGAGTTGTTTTGTTTCTTTACCATTTCCTGAAGAAAATAATATTCACTGCTTTTAACATTTCCTTGTGCCGTTCATGTAGTACAGTGGTACCTCTGGTTGTGAACGGGATCCGTTCCGGAAGCCTGTTCGCTACATGAGCAGAACGCAATCTGCACATGCGCGGGTTGCGATTCGCCGCTTCTGCGCATGCGCATGACGTCATTTTGTGCGCATGCGTGAGTGGCGAAACCCGGAAGTAACCCTTTCCGATACTTCTGGGTTGCAACCTGAAAACGCTCAACCTGAAGCAAACATAACATGAAGTATGACTGTATTCAGAAGTGGAATGCTCTTCCCCCTTCCTTATTTAGGGGTTTGAAAAAATGAGTTCAGTGTCTAGTTTAAAAAATTAGAAAAATGCAAATTTGACTTCTTCTGTACATATATAGGAATAATGGGTTCTTCCTAGTAACCTCTCCCCTTAATACCAGGATTTGTTTCGTTTACGTGTTTTTAACATGTTTTGTTTTGACATATAGTCTGCTAAACTCTGGTGCTTAAGTCTCATCAGGCCTCTGCGTTCCTGGAAAGTATGTTGTGTGCCTCTGTGGTAGAGAAGATTTGTCTGCACTCTTGAATCTTTTAAACATCTTTAAAATTTCTATTCTTAATTTGTTGTCTTTCATTTCCCTACATAATAACTCCCAGCGCTGAAAGGCCAGGCATTTTTAAAAACAAAACAAAACAGAACAAAACACTGCTATTACATAGTATAGAATCTGGTGTGAATCTGGAGAGCATGGCCAAAAGGGTTAAATCTAAATTAAATAACTGGGTTGCAGATTGTGTGCTAAATGTTGCAAATGGATGGTCACTATCCATATTCATGCTCCTGTGACATGGGAAGACTTGTGCCAGATATAGTGTACGTATATTTTAGTTATTTTTATTCATATCATAATTTTATCCTGCTTTTTGCCCCTAAAGGGTTCAATGCAAAGTGCAGTATAATAAAAATGATGATATGAACAAAGAGTTAAAAACCAGAACCGGCTAAAACACAATTCCTCAACAGGAGCCAAAACACATTCCAAAAGCTTGGCAAAGCAGAAAAGTCTTTTCCAGGCGCTGAAAAGTTAATGAGGAGCATGCCAGCGAGATAGCGAGTCCTGGAGTCACGGAGCTTGGACACATGTTCATTATTATGATATGATATTAAGATTAATAGCTCTTTAAGTAGCACTTTAAGCCTGCAATCACATACTTAGCTTTCTGAGAAAAACCCCCACTGAACTTAGTGGGACTTACTTTTCAGTAAACATTTATAGGATTGTGCTGTGGGGAACAATTTGGATACATTCATCCCTGTTCAGTCAGAACGTTCATTGGGTTTGTCTTCAGCTAATCACTATCTCTTGGGCTAACCCACCTAAGAACCTCAGAAGAGCCCACCTAGCCCAGCATCCTGTTCTCACAATAGCTAACCAGTTAATTCTGGAAAACCTGAGCCCAGCAGCACTCTTCCCATCTGTATTCCACAGTAACTTGCATTCAGAAGCCATATGGCTTCCAGTACTGCAGGTGGAACACAGCCGTTGTGGCTAGCAGTCAGTGATACCCATTTCTTCCATGAATTTGTCTAACCTTTTAAAACTATCCAAGCCATCATTACAGGTTGTGCTAGCAGATTCCATTCTTCATGATGTGCTTTTTGAAGAAGCACTTCAATTCACCTATCCTGAATTTTCCTACATATTCAGCTACTTTGGATGACTTTTTTGTTCTGTTATCATATGAGAAGGAGAAAAACCTCCCACTGAGGATAAGGACAGGGGTGGAGGACAGGAGGGGAGGAAGGAATTCTTTTGGAGGAACCTTATATTCGTAGCTCTGTAAAATAAATCAGCACTATTATCCCACCTAGTGAATCCATGGTAGAGATAAGATCTGATGAGGACTTTCCTGTTCGTGTGTGTGTCTCATGTACAGTCTGGTTGTTGAAGCCTTTTCCCTGTTAGGTCTTAATAGCATATATTTTAGGAATGCTTGCATATCATATAAGCATGAAAATAATTTTATTAATCACCGGTGTGTTTGCTGCATACAGAGGTTATGGTAACTTCAGCCTCTGTGAGGCAGTTTAGGCCAAACATGTCTGAGTAGCCCATGCCACCAAATGAGCTTTGTGACTTTGTATGGATTCAAGCCCCGGTCCCTTCGGTTGTAGTCCAACACTCAGCCCACTACTTTGCATAGATGGGGTTGTGGTCCAAACCCAGTAGGCACCTTATTTTATAAGCCACCAGTGCTTTCTGAAGAATGGCTGGTACCCACTGAGACTGCTACCCAACAAATATCTGCATCCTTCTCCTGGCAAGGGCAACATTGAGATTAAGGAGGAGAAAGCTGACAGGCAGTCCTGTCTATAAGAAGGCTGACAGGTACAGGTTGATGTTGGCAGAGCATAGCCCTCTTTGCTTTTACAGACCATAGGTAAAGGGTAAAGGGGACCCCTGACCATTAGGACCATTAGGTCCAGACGACTCTGGGGTTGCGGTGCTCATCTCGCTTTATTGGCCGAGGGAGCCGGCGTACAGCTTCCGAGTCATGTGGACAGCAGGACTAAGCCGCTTCTGGCGAACCAGAGCAGCGCACAGAAACTTCCTGCCGGAGCAGTACCTATTTATCTACTTGCACTTTGATGTGCTTTCGAACTGCTAGGTTGCCAGGAGCTGGGACCGAGCAACGGGAGCTCACCCCGTTGCGGGGGTTCGAACTGCCGAACTTGCGATTGGCAAGCCCTAGGCTCTGTGGTTTAACCCACAGCGCCACCCGTGTCCCTTTTACAGACCATACTTGACTGCTAAAGAGAATGCCGACACACTATGCCTAGTGTTGGTAAACTCCCCCCTCCCTTTCTTTCCCCTCTTGTTTTCAAGAGGCTTTGGTATTTGACAAGTGTAAACAAGGTGTTAAGTCTTTATACCCTCTTTACCCCACAGGCCCTGAGGGTGAGCTGTCGTGGTAATGAGGACCAATTAACTCTGTCACTTTAGTTGTCTTTGTTTTATCCTAAGACCATATTGCAAAAGTCAGTTGATAAACGGATAACTGACAATTTGCCGAGCTAAGAGGCCGCAAGTGTGATAACACTTTCACTGCCAACCTTCCCTTAGGGTTGTGTTACAGGCTTAACATGGATGAGTGTCTCTCGGCCAGCCTTCGTTTGTTGAAGAAGCCTTAGAGAGCTTAAAAAGGATATGATTTCAGGGACTCATTTAGGTCTTTCTGCCTCTGTTTTGCATTTAAGTACCCATTGTGGGAAATACCAAATTGTTATATTACTTTAAAAACACACACACAAACAGCTATAATTGAACAGGCTAGGTCACAAAAGGAGAATATGCCAAATGCTAGTGCAGTAATTACTTAACAAGAATCTCCTTTCTGCAAAATTCAGCCCTTTTAGATGCATGAAAATGATTCTAGATTCATAGGCACTAGCATTACACCCCTACCTAGGACACCTCTTGTGTGGTGAGATCAGAAGCATTCACTTTTAAACAAACTACAGTTCCCTGTGAATATCCAAATTTAGGTACCGTATTTTTCGCTCTTTAGGACACACTTTCTCCCCTCCAACAATTAAGGGGAAATGTTTGTGCATCCTATGGAGCGAATGCAGGCTCCTTGGCTTCAGCGAAAGCAACGCAAATCCTCCAAAGCGCAGAGGGAGCGCTCCCTCCACGCTCCGGAGGCTACGCGTTGCTTTCGCTGAAGCCTGGAGAGCAAGAGGGGTGAGTGCGCACTGACCCCTCTCGCTCTCCAGGCTTCAGCGTTAGCTGCCTGAAGCCTTTGGAGCGTAGCGGGACCTCGCACTGCTCTCCAAAGGCTTTGGGTTCCTTTCGCTGAAGCTGGGACTCCTGGTTTCTCCTGCTGCTTCGCTGAAGGGGGGCTGAGCAGAGAGGAGGAGAATTTTTTTTCTTGTTCTCCCCCTCTAAAACAAGGTGCGTCCTATGGTCGGGTGCATCCTATAGAGCGAAAAATATGGTAACTGTGGTCTATTTAAACTTTTCAAGCCAGTACCTGAGTCCACGGTTTAATCCTGGCTTGTTCTCACTAACAAGAGTTTAAACAACTTCCATTCCCCAAGTTTGGATCTAATGAAGAATGGTGGTTTGTGTAAAAGTGGATGTTTCTTACCCTGAAGCCACAAACGAGGGGATGGTAAACCTATGACTTGTCAGTTTGTCTGTATAACAAGAAATCAAGATTTCCCATTGCATTTGAACTCCACCAGTGTGAGAGCCAGTGTGGTGTCGTGGTTAAGAGCGGTAGTCTCGTAATCTGGGGAACCGGGTTCGCATCTCCGCTCCTCCACCTGCAGCTGCTGGGTGACCTTGGGCCAGTCACACTTCTTTGAAGTCTCTCAGCCCCACTCACCTCACAGAGTGTTTGTTGTGGGGGAGGAAGGGAAAGGAGAATGTTAGCCGCTTTGAGACTCCTTAAAGGGAGTGAAAGGCGGGATATCAAATCCAAACTCTTCTTCTTCTTCACCAATATGCTGCATTTCACCAGCCCTGCTTGAGCTGATTATTATTATTTATACCCTGTCCATCTGGCTGTGTTTCCCCAGGAACTCTGGGTGGCTCACAGCATATCTCAGAACATACTAAAACACCAAACATTAAAAGCTTCCTGATACAGGGCTGCCTTCAGATGTCTTCTAAAAGTCAGATGGTTGTTTAATTCCTTTACATCTGAAGGGAGGGTGTTCCACAGGGTGGGTGCCACTACCGAGAAGGTCCCCTACCTGGTTCCCTGTAATCTCGCTTTTCGCAGTGAGTGAACCAGCAGAAGAGCATTGGAGGAGGACCTCAGTGTCCAGGCTGAACAATGGGGGAGGAGATGCTCCTTCAGGTATACTGGTCTGAGGCCGTTTAGGGCTTTAAAGGTCAGTACCAACTTTTAATTGTGCTTGGAAACGCACTGGGAGCCAATGAAGATCCTTTAGGACCGGTGTTATATCGTCCCAGCGGCCACTCTCAAGTCACCAATCTAGCTGCCGCATTCTGGATTAGTTTTAGCTTCTGGGTCACCTTCAAAGGTAGCCCCAAGTAGAGTGCATTGCAGTAGTCCAAGCAGGAGATGACCAGAGAATGCACCATTCTGGTGAGACAGTCTGCAGCCAGCGTACCTGGTGGAGCTGATAGACAGCTGCCCTGGACAGAGAATTGACCTGCGCCTCCATGGGCAGCTGTGAGTTCAAAATGACTCCCAGGCTGCGTACCTGGTCCTTCAGGGGTACAGTTACCCCATTCAGGACCAGGGAGTCCCCCACACCTGCCTGCCCCCTGTCCCCCAAAAACAGTACTAATGAATACTACTGATACTACTGAAATACACTTCTGCAAAACTAACTACACTGAGGTGCAGCATTATTCTAAACAGTGCATATTTGAATCTTGAATTTTAAAATCATTTACTTCTAGGGCACATCTTGTTCTTACTACCATGGAGTCCATAAGCTTAGCGAACACCATGCCTTAAAATCTGCACGTAAGAAATACCAGGCTTGGGACATTGAAGACCTAGTGAGCCTCGGGAAGAAGCTACGTGCCTGTGCCTATTTCGCAGCTCGAGAGCTTATGGCTGAGGCTAGGATTGTGTTTTGTCCTTACAACTATCTTCTAGACTCACAAATAAGAGAGAGTGTAAGTATATTTGCAAAGCAGGTGTTTTAACATTTTATTTATTTAATAATAATAATAATAATAATAATAATAATAATAATAATAATAATGATTTATTATTTATACCCCGCCCATCTGGCTGGGCCTCCCCAGCCACTCTGGGCGGCTTCCATAAAAACCACAAATACAGTAAAATATCACACGTTAAAAACTTCCCTGAACAGGGCTGCCTTAAGATGTCTTCTGAATGTCAGGTAGTTGTTTATCACTTTGACATCTGCTGGAAGGGCGTTCCACAGGGCGGGCGCCACTACCGAGAAGGCCCTCTGCCTGGTTCCCTGTAGCTTTGCTTCTCGCAATGAGGGAACCGCCAGAAGGCCCTCGGCGCTGGACCTCAGCATCCGGGCAGAATGATGGGGGTGGAGACGCTCCTTCAGGTATACTGGACCGAGGCCGTTTAGGGCTTTAAAGGTCAGCACCTTTATTATTCATATTTATTCATTTATTTATTTATTTTTGATTGTCTTAAGAAATAATATTAATGAAGGTCAACCTGAAGGCAATTCCATATGTTGCTGTGTAAAAGATCTTCCTATTGTCACAAAAAGGAAGAGATTGTGATTTGCATCCAATGAGCTGTGAACAGAGGGAGAAAATATATTAGTGATGTTCCATGAACACTTGGTGCCCAGTAGCAAGCAAAAGATTTCTCACACTGCCCTTCATCTAATGATCACAGGGCTTTATGAGTCAAAACCAACACTTTAAATAGAGCCTGGAAACTAATTGGCAGTCGGGCCACAAACAGTGTAATATGCCCCAGCAAGCAACTTGGTCGCCAAATTCTGCACCAGCTGAAGTTTCCGAACTATCTACAAAGGCAGCCCCACGTATAAGACTGTTGCAGTAATCTAACCTAGAGTTAACCTCTCATCCATCTGGTCTAGAGAACCCCCTCTAGCAGTCGCTTTGTCTTACCTGGATTGAGCTTCAGTTGGTTGGCTCTCATCCAGTCCATTACCGAGGCAAGACAACACTCCAGCACATCCATTGCCACACATGCAGTTGTAAAGGTAAAGTACAGCTGTATGTCATCAGTATATTGCTGACAACATACTCTAAAACTCCAGATAACACCACTCAGTGGTTTCATGTGTATGTTAAACAGCACAGGGATTAAATTGAACTGTGAGGAATGCCACATTGAACATTAAAGGGGGCTGAAGAGCACTCTCCAAGCATCATATACAAGTTACATCATATACAAGCAGGACCGTTACCATCACAAAGCAGTGTCGCCCACCTCTAACCCAGACAGCCGCTCCAGAGGAATACCATGGTTTGCTGCCAGAAAGCAAACCATGGTTACTCTGCTGGGCTGAGTTCATAGATGTGTGAAGCAGGCCAGTAACTGGCCCAAGACTATTCAGTAAGCTTTGTCTCCTGTTTTGTTTATTGTTGTTTTGGCCATCATGGTCACATTAGCTACATGGCTATAGATACATCCACTAATACAATATTGAGGAGTAAGCTTTGTCACTGAGTGGAGATCTGAACCCTGGTCAAACACTTCAACCATTATCCACAACTGACTTCCTCCTTCCTGCAGATTTTTGTGTTTTTCAAAAAAAGGAAAATCCATTGCCTGGTAAAGCAAAATTTGCAGTTTCACTTCTAACAGAAGAAATCATGTGAATTTACCAGGTACTTGAGTTTAGTTTTTGTTGGTTTTCATGATTTTGCAGATGGAGATTGACTTGAAAGACCAGGTGATCATTTTAGATGAAGCTCATAATATTGAGGATTGTGCACGGGAATCGGCCAGCTACAACGTGACGGAAACTCAACTCAAATTGGCCCGAGAGGAGCTGGACACCATGGTGAATAACAACATTAGGAGGAAGGATCACGAACCATTGCGTGCTGTATGCTGCAGTCTGACAAAGTAAGAGGAAGCTAATTTACTGGAGATACCTTTCGGTGTTGTGAGCCCAACTGTCTTGGGCTGGGGTGGCAGTTGCTGTCAGAGAAAGAAGAAAAGATGGATGCCAGTAGCAAGGAGCGAGATGAGAGGAAGGGAGCTTTAGAAGCTGGGGAGGTGGAGGCAGTTTGCCTGGCTCCCATGCCTTTCCCTATCTACAGAGTGGATATATTCCCTAGCAGCAGGGAAGGAAGTCATCCAGCCAAGAGGGGAGACTGGACAGCTGAGAGCGGGGGAGCCAGATGGGCTGAGCCAGAAGTTCTCTTCCTGTCGATGAGAACTTGGCACCACCTACACTGTTGGGAGCAGGCCCACATGGTGGAGAAGTGTGTGCCTCAAAGCACACCAGTCTCATAGGGAGACACATCTTGCCTTTAAAAGCTGGCACGAGGGACATGACCATTTGTTGAAACATCTTTGCAATTTTTTTGGGAGCCAGTGTGGTGTAGTGGTTAAGAGCGGTAGTCTCGTAATCTGGGGAACCGGGTTCACGTCTCCGCTCCTCCACATGCAGCTGCTGGGTGACCTTGGGCCAGTCACACTTCTCTGAAGTCTCTCAGCCCCACTCACCTCACAGAGTGTTTGTTGTGGGGGAGGAAGGGAAAGGAGAATGTTAGCCGCTTTGAGACTCCTTAAAGGGAGTGGAAGGCGGGATATCAAATCCAAACTCTTCTTCTTCTTCTTTTCTGGTCTTGGGCACCCTGATGCTATTCTCAGACTTTCTAGTTGTGCCTGTAGCCTGACCTGTATGGCTACAAGCCTTAAATAAAGCTCTCTTTCTTACCCACACCTTCTGTTTTAGTGTTCAGGAGTCCTGCAACCTTCAGTTAAATTGAACTGTGACTATAGTCCTCTTGTGTTTTACTATTGCCATGGCTATTTAAAGCCTCTAGAAGAGGTAAGTCAAGGCATAGGAATAAAAGAAGCTTCATACCAAATCAGACCATTGGTCCCATCTAATTTATTGTCTACACCAGCCTTTCTCAACCTTGTGTCCACAGATAATTGTTATACTGCAACTTCAATCTTTTCTAGTTAGCAGAACCAGTGGTTGGGGATGATGGGAGTTTTAGTCCAACAACATGTGGGGACCCAAGGTGGAGAAAGGCTGGTCTACACACTAATGGGCAGCCCTACCGGGAATCAAACCTGGAACCTTTAGCATGCAAAGCATGTTCTGCATCACTAAGCTGCAGCCCTTCTCCCTGTCCGTTAAATAATTAAGATAATAATGATGGGGGAAATCTTACTGATTGACAGCTGAGTCATATGTGCAATAGGCATATGATGGATCTGTTGCTGGCCTGTTCTACTTCAGTCTGTATCAAGAGTACTGAGGACTCTTCCCATATAGAAGCTACCCGTAGATACAGAAACCTGTGTACCATTTCTTCCTAACATGGCCAGTTTGTGTGTATTTTGTTTATTTATTTGTTTTTGTTTGTTTGCTTGTTTTAATATGTGTGAGCATCCAAAAATTCAGCCTGCCTCCCCCCAACCTGAAAATTTTCCATCCGCCAGTAGAACAATTTACATGAGTCTGTTGGTCGGGTAGCTTGGCATAGATTCTGTGAGTTTATGTCTTCTGGAGCAGCGTCAACTCTAGACCAAATGGGTTTTCAGAACAGATCTGATGGTTAATTTTACTCATTCTAAACTTTGTGCCTTCCCATTACCTCTTCTGTGCTATGAAGGTGCAAGGGGCGGGAAGTGGAGGCGGTTGCTACTGAAACAGAGATGGTAAATTTTTTCATGGTGGCTTTTCAGACCTTAAAAATGTTTTGCATTGTATGAAAGGAACATAGCTGAAGACTCGAAATGCCTGAAGTCTTTTAACCTTATCAGGAAAACTCAGGTTGATCTCGCTGTCAAGTCTGCCAACAGAAGTGCAGGCAGCAGGCGGAAAGCAATAGATGAGACATAAAGCGGCCAACAATTAAGACTGTTGATAAATAAAGTGGTGGGGCTGCCAGCTAAGAAATCCAGTTTTATAACAGTCCTGTACTAGTTACCGTGCAATACATTTTTAGAGCTTTTGCTTATCATGCCTGTTGGTGGCCTGAATCACACTATGGATAACCAGGGCCATGCACCACACTAAGCTAAGCTGTGGTTTCGCTTAATGTATCATCTAAATCCAGGCTTGTGGTTAAGCTCTGTTCCTTGTAACCGTAAGCTGCAGCCAAGGTTTGTTATTGGCTAGAGCTTGTGGTTAGCGAGGAGAGAGTTCAGAGAACATGCACATGGGAGTAAAAAGGATTGGAGAGGCAGAGTGGTTGCGAGCCCCATCTTGGGGAGTCCTGCACTTTTCCTGGTCTTGGTAAGTCATTAGCTTGGTCTACTGTCTTGTGCCAGCCAAGCCCATGTCTTTAAAAGTAGTTCCAGTCTTGTGAAACTACCAGGGTTAGACCCAAACCAGCCTCCTGGAGCAGGACATTGCATGACACGGATGCTACCCCAGAGGAGGCCCTTCTATTTGTGTGCATTAAAGCATTTGATTACTTCTGTAGTGTGTGTGTAGAATGGAAGGTCTAATGCACAAATGTTCACAAAAATTCTGCTTCTTCTGGGTTTTATTTATTTACAGTTGGTTGAGGGAAACTATTGGTCAGCTTGTGGAGAGAAATTATGAGACCTCTAGTAAGGTTTGGAGTGGAAAACAAATGGTGGCGTTCCTGCATGATATGGGAATAACCAACGCCACATTTCCCATCTTACAGGTAGGGATGTGTAATAATTCATATTTATTTTCTCTTGTGTGTGGGTGTTGAAGGTCTCTGTTCCCAGTATAGCAGCAAACCATAGTTGGGCCATTTTGTCTGAATCCAGGAAACTATGATACCATGCAGTCTAAATTAATAATCGTTTAATATTCCTGAGAACTGCAGACCAGGTGAAGCGTTTATCATCTTGCTTTATCTTGGGGAATGTGTTTGTTTGCTTCTTCAGGTTTTTTTTAAATTAAAACTGTAAAGGTTTTTAAAATTGAACTTCGATATTGAGCAACAGTTTGAGCAACTCTTGATTTCTTGAGTTTCTGCCTGCTGAAGATTCTGTTCTTTAGCATGACTGTTACGAACTGTCATGGAGAACATCAAAGCTTTATAGCCATTTATTGATGTAGGTGAACCTTTTCCAACCTGGTGCCCTCCAGCTGTTGTTAGATTCTAAAACATTTGGAGGTAACCAGGTTGGGAGGAAGCTGGAGTTTGGCTTGCTTACTGTGTTAATTTATTGTTTTTGGTCTTCTGCAGAAACATTTTGCTGCTGTTCTTGAAAAGGAGGAAAAAGTAAACCTGTTCAATGGAGGAGAAGAGCTTGTTTCGGTTCCAATTATAAGCCCTTCGACTCAGATTATGCTGAAGGGGTTATTCATGGTCCTGGGGTATCTTTTTAAAGAGAATCACAGGTCAGTGAGGCTCTGAAAGCAATCCTTTCCCCCAGCTGTTAATATTTCAAAGTTAAACATGCAAATTGTAGGTATTTTTCAGGGTTTTATGTCATTTTTGTTTAGGTTTGCTGAAGACTACAGAGTTGCATTGCAGCAAGCCTACATTTGGACTAATGAAAATCCAGTTGATACTCCAGATGAGAATGGTTTCTTTGCACGATCAAAAAGAAGATCCCGACAAAAAACAGCAGTGCATACACTCAGTTTCTGGTGCTTGAATCCAGCTGTGGTAAGACAGTTTTGGGTGTGTGCATGCGGCAGAGAACCTAGGGACAAGTGACAGGACAGTGACCTTATACCAGGTCAGATTATTTGCCCAACTGGTCCAGGAATGCGTTTTTGGTAGTGGTTCTCCTGTGTCTCCCAACAGAGAAGGATCTCATGATCCTTTTAGCTGGAGATTCTGGGAACTGAGCCTGGAACCTTCTGGGACTGGAAAGACTCAGGTTCAACTCCCTACTTATCCACTAAGCTCCTTGGGTGACCTTGGGCAAGTCACTGTCTCTCAACCTCCCTCACAGGGTCATCGTGAGGATAAAATGTGGGAAGGGAGAGAAACCGTATACACTGTCTTGAACTCACTGGGGGGAAAGTTAGGATATAAATGTAGTAAATAAAATTCTTCTCTCAAGGCCTTCTCAGACATGTGTGGCAATGTTAGATCAGTCGTGTTGACCTCAGGAACGCTCTCTCCGATGGACTCCTTTTCTTCTGAGCTTGGTGTGAAGTTTTCCATTCAACTTGAAGCAAACCATGTTATTAGGAATTCCCAGGTATGTTCATTGCATCTGGGCTTGGGTTCACCCTTATGTTAATATGCTGTAGGGACCATACTGTAGTGTAGTTTACTTGGGGCATTCCATATGATGTATACACTTTGCCTGGTTCCCATACAAGAGTTTCTTTACTCTTCCTCACCATGCAAAATGTTGTGCCTGTTTGATTAGCGCAAGCAGTGTGACAGCTGCATCAGGTTCTCAGTTGTGAGGAATCGTTGAGCCAAAAATTGAATGCTCACTAATATCCAAAACACTGGCATTCACATTTTGACTGTACTGTATCAACATGTTAGTCAAGTCCATTAATTTCAGTGAGTAGAACTAACATTGGAGACAGCACATTGTGGCAGGCACCAAATATGTAATATGATTGCATGTCATACAACAAAGAGTGTTAGGTATCAACTGCCAAATATTAAGTACTGGAATAGATTCTTGCCAGATAAATACATATATACATGCACGCACACACACACACACACACACACACACAGGTGTGTGTGTGTGTGCGTGCGTGCGCGCACACAGTGACATAGCTGTGCACTGTTTTAGTGTTGTTAGCCGCCCTGAGCCCGGCTTCGGCTGGGGAGGGCGGGATATAAATAAAATTTATTATTATTATTATTATTATTCAGAGAATAGTTGGAGAACAGCCAACATCAATGTTTTCAGAAGAGTGGGTTTTTTTGAGCAAATTTGTTGTCAGCTCTGATGCCTAGTGTACACATGTAGCAGAAAGAGGCAGGTGGGTTTTTTTTGCTGATCCCTCACCCCCCTGCACTCCCCTATACCCTCTGAAAAGCTGCCCTGGTGGGTTTTTGGGCCTACAGGAACAGCATGGGAGGTGGGGGGGGGCTGCAGCAGAATCAGCAGAAATTATGCAAACACACAAATTTACAGGTCCCCCAGTAGGTAAATCCCATGAGTAGAACTCCACCCATTGGAATAAAATAAGCAAAATTTTATTTGCTAAAAAGTTATGAGAGTAATAAATCCCAATGCATTTTGTAGAATTTGCACTTTTGGATATATGCTTGGAATACATATTTGAGCATATCTGTTCTTCAGCATTCCCAGTGAACACATAGACACAATTACCAATCTGCCCATCTTCCAGCACCTGTATGTCAAGGGGCAGTCTGAGCAATGAGTCTGACAACCTATTCGCCTGAAAGGAATTGCTGCTTGCTCCAGGCAGGCATGCAGGTAGCTGTGCATCGTAAATGTCTTGATTTATTTTGCTATTGGATTTTAAAAGTAAACATTTCCAATAATCCTACTTGCCCTGATCAGTTTTGTCTCAGTCTCTTAAATCCATGGCCACAAGTTTTTTTCACAGTGCAGTTCCATCCTGCCGTCTCATAATGGAATGTATTTTGTTACTGATATGAATGTCAGCAATGAAATGTTTCCCCCAACAGGTGTGGGTTGGTACTGTTGGAGCTGGGCCTAAAGGCAGGTCATTATGTGCTACGTTCCAGCACGCTGAGACCTTTGATTTCCAGGATGAAGTTGGGGAGCTTCTGCTCTCAGTTTGTCAGACCATCGGCCAAGGGGTTTTGTGCTTTGTGCCATCTTACAAGGTAAGATGCCAATCAAACATTTTCAATCTTCTTTCAAGCTACATGGGAGTTATATCAGTTATTTGTATATGTGTGCCAACACTTCCACACATCAAGGGTGTGGTGACCAGTTTCATAAAGTCATAGAGTTGTACGGGACCCTAAGGGTGATCAGTGCAGGAATCACAGCTAAAGAATCCCTGACAGATGGCCATCCAACCTCTGTTTAAAAACCTTCCGCGAAGGAGAGCCCACCACCTTCCTAGGTAGTCCATTCTCCTGTCAGACAACTCTTACCATCAGAAAGAGGTTGTCACATAAGTGTAAAGTAAAGTAAAGTAAAGGTAAAGGGATCCCTGACCATTAGGTCCAGTTGTGGACGACTCTGGGGTTGCAGTGCTCATCTCGCTTTATTGGCTGAGGGAGCCGGCGTACAGCTTCCGGGTCATGTGGCCAGCATGACTAAGCCGCTTCTGGCGAACCAGAGCAGTGCACAGAAACGCCATTTACCTTCCCGCCAGAGTGGTACCTATTTATCTACTTGCACTTTGACATGCTTTCGAACTGCTAGGTTGGCAGGAGCAGGGACCGAGCAACGGGAGCTCACCCCGTCATGGGGATTCGAACCGCCAACCTTCTGATTGGCAAGTCCTAGGCTCTGTGGTTTAACCCACAGTGCCACCCACATCCCTAAGAATAAAGTAGGCCATCCCTTATCCCTTACAACAAAGCTAAAAATTATTTTAAAATACGTACAATAAATCAATAAAACATAGTAAAGCAGCAACCAAAAGCACACCTCAGCCCACAGTAGGAACAATTTAAGTGGCCAAGCAAAGTCATATCTTTGCCTGGTGCTGAAATAGGTGTTAGGCAAGTTTATTTGGGGAAGGGCATTCCATAGCTAGAACGATACCACCGAAATTACCCTTCCCTCAGTAGGTACCTGCTGCATCTTTTCCCCAGTGGGGGATCTGAAGAAAGTCATTTGGGAAAAAGATCTGGACGGGTCCATATGGAGATAGGTGGTCCTTCGGGTACCCTAGTCTCAAGCAACAAAGGTCTTCCAAGCTTAAGAAGTCACACAATGAATTGGGCTTGGAAACAGAAGGGGATCCAGTGAAGCTGGCAAACCAGCAGCATGAGGGAGCTTCTTCATAAGAGGCGCAGGCAGTTACTAGCATTATGTATTCCTCTCTCAATGTGCTTTGTGTTCATATTTTGAATGGGCTATAATGGTTTGTATTCGTCTACTTTATAGTTCGATGGTCCTCGGGAGCCCATAGGTTTCTTCTTCTTTTAATTCCATGTTGTAAGCTTAAAAAACACACCCCTTTTTGATCAGATGTGGGTCATTCTCCACCCCTTTTCTTTTAACCCAACTTGTTCCTAAACCTGGGAAGAGATTTGAAATGCTAATAACTGAGCCAGTCTTTTTTTTGTTTTGCCTTTGTTAATTTTTTGTGATGTTCAAACATTTCTTGCAAGATGTCGGGAAATTCCCAGGGACAGGATTTGAGAAGCTCTGGCCTGAACTGATGACTGATGATATTTCATGATAGAAGTACCGTGATGGTGCTTTTAAAAATGATGAGTTGTATCTAATGTTAGGAACTCTCAGAGCACACTCACTGAAAGTGAGGAACCTCACTAACTTTGGCCCTTTAAATTTAATGAGTCTACTCTATGGTTAACATTAGATACAATCTAGTACGTGTAATGAATTCTCTGATAATTATATTTGGCTTCTGATATCTGGCCAGCAATGTTAGCGTTGGTTTCTCCTCAACAGCTGCTTCTGCTTTCCTTGTTGGAAGAATTGAAACATTCTTCACGTAAACCCAGAAACATTTTGCACATGAGCATTAATTCTGTGAAGTTATTTCATGTTTCCTTTTGAATTTTTGAGTGGTTCTGTCTGTGATCATTTGGAGCTCACACCATGCCAACTTGAAAGGAACTGGTGTTTTTAAGGACTCTTAGTCCCTCGTTCCATCAAGACCATGCAACAACAAAACACATATCAATCACTCAGATCAGAGCAGCCAGGATGCAGCCCTCTGACCTCATTTCGGTTCATCACATCAGGTTATGTCAGAGATAGCACTGAAAGAAGCAGTTTAGGAGGCAAAAAATATGTTTTCCTGCACTGGCTGGCACTTGTGGCCATATGTTTCTTCTATTTGTGATGTTCTAGAATATTTTTGCTAATATTTAGGATTCTGAGGGAAAATGTAACAAAAAAAATTATGGAAATGCAGATAAAAAGGATAAAAGGTTTGTCCTGCATGTTTTCCAGTTCGCAATGTTTGCTTGGTGTCAAGAGGCTACACATTCTTAATTTTGCCTGCTCTCTAGGGACAGCAGTAATCAAAGGAGGTCTTGCAGTTACTGAAAATAACCAATAGGTGACCACATTGGACCGTAAAACTAACTGCTAAGGAAAAAAGGAGTCCACTTGAATATGTGACTCCTTTCACATTAATACTTGCCAGAGCCATGTGTGCAGACATGCAAACATAACACGTCTCATAAAATACCTTGCATTTATCTGACGCCTCTGAATTTGAGCCTGGGATCTGTTCCAGGTTTTTTTGCATTCACACTAGTCGCTTTAAATCTGCATGACTACATTTCAACAACATTTCAATTGTAAATAGTCCAATAACAATAACATCATTTATATCATGCTGTATTCTCCTGCTTGAATCATATAACCGGCGGTGCTGATAGCTGATTCCCATACTTACAACACGTTCACTCTAATGCGGGGCTTTCCATTCTAGTACCTTCGCATTAGTTTTGGACTACAGCTACCATCATCCCTGGCCATTGGCTGGGGCTGATGGGAGTTGTTGTCCAAAAAATGGTGGGCATCAGGTTGGGAAAGGCTGCTATACTGGTAGACAAATGGCTGTGAATGAACTGCTTTGCAGCTCTTGTCTGCTGAAGATTAGGGCTAGGTGACCAGGAAAATATGCAATTAGTTGTTAACCAGAGTACAGGGGAGGGGATTTTATTGGAGAGGTGCAGAAAGAGAAAGAATTGTGGTTGAGGGATGAGTTGCCTTGTGGCATACATCCCCTACCCCACCCCCAATCCTATTTCCACTCTCCCATTCCAGGATACTCCATGCTTTCTTCCCAGATGAAAGTGACTGGAGTGTATATGTGCAAATAATTAGAATGCTACAGAGCACTTTTTTGTTGGATACTAATATTTTCCTCTACCTCCCAATTCTTCATCCAGCATTAACCACTATGCAACACTAGCACCACACAATGCCTGTTGTAGATAAGCAACCTGTTTCTTGTTGGCTTGTGCCTTCCACCTTTTAAAACACCTCAGTAGCTGCAGATTTCCCCATGGAAGTAAGGATGCTTAGATCAAAAGGCAAATGTTTTCTTCTTTGTCGTTGAAATCTCCACTTTCTTCACTTTGTCCCCCTCCTCCCTTTGTGGAGTCCATTTGAGCAGATATAGGACAAAAGGAAAGCGACAACATAGAAACCTTCCTTAATCCATAGGAGAGAACTCCTCTGGGCACAGGAGCAATTACCTGGCTCCACCCTCAGGGAGCAAAGAGAGGGAAAGGAAGCCACTCAAGTGCACCATTCCTGCGAGAGCCCACAGGTGCATCAGCATCTCCTTGTGGACCCTGGTATCAAAAGGCTGCTGAGAGGTCTAAAACAATACACCTGCACACCTGGGATTTGTTGCTGAACCCAGGCCATAATTGTATTGAGCTCTCTGGCTCCAAGTCCGTTTGGAAAAGGATGCAGAGTTTCTAGGCAGCTTCGGAGCAGCTTTGCTGTGCCACCTATTCAGCTGCTTTCTCTTAAAAGAATGTGTGTGTTTGAAAGTTTCAATAAACAGCTAAGAGTGTGCGCCATTGAGTATATAGATATCTAGAGAGAACCAGGAAGGAGTAGTAAGTGGAATGATAGGTGAGAGTTATATATTCAAATTCCCACTCTGCCACATGGCTCACTGGACGATGCTGGGCTAGTCAGTGGTAGGGAATACAGTGGTACCTCGGGTTAAGTACTTAATTCGTTCCGGAGGTCCATACTTAACCTGAAACTGTTCTTAACTTGAAGCAGTACTTTAGCTAATGGGGCCTCCTGCTGCTGTCGCGCCGCCAGAGCCTGATTTTTGTTCTCATCCTGAAGCAAAGTTCTTAACCTGAAGCACTAATTCTGGGTTAGCGGAGTCTGTAACCTGAAGCGTATGTAACCCGAGGTACCACTGTATGCCTGTTCAGTCCCTGGTATCTCCAGGTAGGGCTGGGAGACTCCTGCCTGAAAACTGGAGAGCTGTTGCCAGTCAGTGTTGTCAGTACTGAGCTAAATGGAGTAATTGGTCTGACTTAAGTCAATGACATGTTCCTATGCACCTTGCAGAGTTGTTGCAAAGATTTAAAAAAAAAGATGGATGGGAATGCTGGGTTGCCCCTTGAGCTAAACGGATGAAGGGTGGGATAAAAATGTAATAAAACTTAACAAATTTATTTTGAATATGTATTGATTTTGCAGTTTGTGGCACCTACTCTTGCACTTGTGCAACTTAGGAGCCAAATCACTAAGTAGTCAGTCCTGTGGGCCTTGCCTCTGGTGGGCAGGGAATGTCACTGGCCAACTAAGCTGGGAAGCTCTTGAAAACTAGGAAGCGAATCAGGGTCCTTTTCAGGGTGTTGAAGTGCCTCAGAGAAATGTGTTGGCAGATGGACTAGGTTAGATTAGATTTAGAGTTCCTTTTTAATTCTGCTTTTCTGTCCGAAAGCTCACACCATACCTGCTTGGAGAGTTAAAAACAGCCATTAGACAATCAATCAATAACACAAACAGCATAAGAGTAGATTCAGGTAGGTAGCCGTGTTGGTCTGATGCAGTCGAAATAAATTGAAAAATTAAAAAATTGTCCAGTAGCACCTTAGAGACCAACTAAGTTTGTTCTGGGTATAAGCTTTTGTGCACTTCTTCAGATACACAGCATAAGAGTAAAGCAATTAGAAAGAGCAAT